CATTAAGCCGTAATGTGTGTGACATCCGAATGTCGCAAGCCATAAGCTTCTTTGCCTGTTAAATGCTGAAGCTCCGTCGGGCAGTAATCGGCCCTCAGGGTGACTTACCACAGTGCCCCTACAGTATAGCATAGATCCTCACACTGTCCACAGAAAGGACTGTTCACAGACATTCCTACTAGAGAACAAGATTCTATCCTGTTCCTATTCACCATTTGATTGATTTTTGACCTAAAAAAAAAAAAAAAGATGGCAATTCCATATGATTCAACCTCATAGTCCATAAATACGAATCTTTAAAGGATTGTTTCTCAATTCGCTGTTCATAGTAGATGGAATCTTCTTGGCAAGAATCTGGGTGCTTAAATGTTTTTCTTCAAGATTATGTAACTGCTGAGATAAATACTATAGCTTCTTGGCTTAGCTGGAACAGTCAGAGCCACCAAATTTTAAGAGGGAAAAAAAAAAGCAAGCGGGGATGTCTCCCTCTACTGGTGGAAGGTGAAAGAGTCCTCAGATGAGAAGCCAGGGGAAAATAATAGGAGGGAAATTGATGAGGGGGAAAGATGAGGGGAAAGAGAATGGGTAAGCACAGAGCGAAAGAAAGCTAAGTAGAAAAACCAATAAACAGGTACATAAGAATTAGAATGAAGGATTTTAAATTTAATAAAAAAAGGAGGGTCATTTCCATAGTAACCCAGAAGATACTATTTTTCTCTCTGAGGTTTTTTAAAAACCTCATAGAATTGTGACCATGAAGGCTTATCAACTCATTGTTCTTGGAACTTTGGCACAGTACAAAATATGAAGAAGCACTGACTTTTTTAAATATCATATACCCCCGGGTCATTTGATACCTGAGTTTTTTTCTAAGGAGGCGATGTTCAAAACTGGCAAAATTAATATTATGGGAATTATAATTCCAATGGATGGTGTCATAGCTCACTTTGGTTGGAATCTGATAAAATCCCACGGTCTCCACTATTATGAGCCAACAGCAGGTCTATATGGGCCATACACTGCAAACAGAGCCTGATCTCTGTTTGCCCCCAAATGGGGATGCTCTTCCCAAGGGAAGTCTATCTGAATGTAGCAGGCTATCTTCCAGGTCATAGGATACAGAAGGATTTAGACCCTTGGGTTTATAGTCCCAGGACCTGCGCCCACTGGGACCAGGCAAACTGAGGATAGTGAAGAACAGATTAGCTGGACATATGAAAGTTGTCCCTCCAGCAGGAGAAACACCCACAGCTTTACTTGGAGAGAGTCACCTTTAAGGCATTTCACCAAATCTATGTAGAACAGGTGCTGAAAGTCAGAGAAGTCTGAGTTACAATACTCATTTGGAAAAGATTTCTGAATGATTTGCAGTAGTTTTGTTTTTTTTTTTTTTTTTTTTAATTCAATGGTTTAGGCTCAACTTTTTCTTTCCTAACTTCTTTTCCCGTCCTTCCATCAGTGTCCTCCAGCCTTACACATAAGAGACAGGAGACCAGTTTCAACAGGGTCTGGGCCACAGAGGCTGACATAGGATTTGACTTGAAGGGTTCTCAGCAAGTGGTCTGACCAAGGTAAAGCACTGGGTGTGCACAGGAGTGGATTCCGGTCTCAAGAGGCCTGCGTCATGCCATGGGTGTTAAGAAAAGGAAACAGGTATGCCAGACCAAGGCCTTGGAAGGGGCTAAGTCAGCAAGATGCCCTGGAGCTTCCACTTCCTTAGCTAAATAGTGACTGTCCCTCTTGGTCTGTGCTGTTTCAGTCAGCAAGTGATGATCATGGCTGAAAGTCTGAGAAGGTGCCTCAGACTCAACGTTGACTTTTCCCGTGACCTTCACTGCCCACTGTCAGCAGCCACCTTATTACCAGAAGGTTCTGGTGGGTGTCCATGAACTCTGTTATCGGGCTTGAACTGGAGAAAAGGGTCAGGGAGACAGGAAAGGGCAATTGATGGGGGGCCACAAAGTAGGAAAATGGACAAGAGAGGGCTGGGGTTGTGGCTCAGTGGCAGAGCGCTCGCCTTGCATGTGTGAGGCACTGGGTTCCATCCTCAGCACCACATAAAAATAAATAAAATAAAAGTATTGGGTCCTTCTACAACATATATATACATATGCGTGTGTGTGTGTGTGTATGGACAAAAGAGGGAGGAACAGAGGGGGAGAGAGATAGGGACAGAGAACGAGGCAGGGAGAAAGTGGTGGAGGGAAAAAGACACTTGGGTGGCCTCCCTTGTGCTCCTACCACATGGCTTTGAAAATCCCTTCCAACTCTAGTCACGAAGTACTTGGGCTGATCCCTAAAACAGAATTTGCCAATTGGTTTTCAATAAAAAGGTCGAAAGAGCGGAGCAAATCTAATTTGGAATTTCCTCGTTCCTTGGGCCTGGGGAGGGGGATGTGAAGAGAAAGCACAGGATGATGAGTGAGGGCTGAGAGGGGAAGGTTGACATGGAGACACAGTCATCCAGGAAGGGCCTTGGGTTGTGCACTGGAGGCCCCTGTCCCATCTCCACCCTGGTTTCATATGCAGGGCCACGTGCAAATCGCAGCTGCCCAACAGGAAGCAGGAGCCTTGGCAGCTCAGTCTCTACCACAAAGAATATTCCTGAACTGGTCTTTGCAAAGCGCAGCTGCTGGATGCTAGCACTGAGTCTCAAGGACAACTGTTTAACCTGTCAAGACCAAGGTTAAACTAGGCCTTCCACTGTCAAGACCAAGCCCATGCCCTGAACAGAACTGGGGCCAGCCTGCTGACCACCACTGCCCACAGGCAGACAACCGTCACCAAGAGTCAACACCTGGATCCAGAGTCCCTATAAGAGCAAAGAAAGCTCCTCAGCTGCCCACCTGACGCTAGGAAAAGCAAACACTGATCATCATGTTTGACAATCAGCCCATGTCAAGTACTTTTCAATGGCCTTTTCATCTCCTCTGAATAGTCCCCGTTCCCCAGGCCCTTCCCCAAATCTCTGTTTTGTTGGAGTCCCACTGGCCAGGAGGAAGCATGAGACAAAAGCAAGTCTTGCCTTCAGACTGGCTTTCCCTCCTCAAGAATTTCCTGCTCCTCTTGCCTGGAACCACGGGTTTTGAACTTCTAAAATGTTCCAATTTCTGGGAGTCTGCAGCTCCCCAGCCTTTTTAAGTAGGCTCAGGGCCAGGATCGGAGGCAACCTACACTTGTGACTTCAAAAAGAAAGCCATACATGGCTGATGGGCATATTCTGCAGCAAATGAAATGAATACCTGAGGATTTGCAATTTCAGGTGAACTCTGTCCCCCTTAAGGCTCCTCTGTGCACACATTTTGTATTGCTGCTGGGCTATGGGTCAAGGTGGGTGGCAGTTCTGGGTGCACCCTGGCAGGCAGAGGTGGTAGCACCTCAGCCACCAGGATATTACTACCTGATTCTTTAGAACACTCCAGTTCTGAAAAGGAACAAGAGGTAATAAGCCGAGTGACATGTATCTACTGTATGTCAAAAGTTTGGATGGTTTGCAGTCGAAGGATTCAAGCTTCAAATGCTGGATCTATCTCTTTGCTTTCATCTTTGAGGTCTTAAGCTCAGGTCCAACCCACCTAAGCCTTGGTCCCCATCCAGCGCACAAAGAGCAGAAACATGATTGTTAGGAGAACTTAAAGAAACAGAGCAGGGCATCCAGCTAATCACTGGAACAGTCACAGGGTGCTCACCTAATACCCACACCCACTCCTCCTGCTGTAAAAAAAAAAAAAAGCTGCTTCAAAATTTCACTAACAATGAACTACAGAGGGTCAAGTTTAGGATTTCCAAATTCTGGGAAGTGGATTCTAGCTCAAGCATATTATAGTTCAAGAAGAGAGTTTGCTGAGCAACCAGGGGTTTATGCTGTTTTCTTTGCCAGTGATTAAAGTGGAACAAAGGACACAAGATAGATGTGATGTGACTTCAGAACCCTTGGAAGAAAGGGAGCTGTCTTCTCAAATATTGGCATCATCATGCCCCAGGAGACCCCTTCATGGTTCCTGAGGCTGATGAAAACCCAGCAGGAATTCTAGGCCTTTGCAGAACAGTCTGATTCAAACCCCAGGGCTTCTGTGACCCTTGTATCTTTCTATTCTTCTTTTGGTCAAATAGACAGAGCCATTTTTAAGTACAGCTCAGCAGGATCCGGTCACTATCATATTGCTCTGCAGCCATCACCACCCTCCATGTCCAGAACTTTTCATCTTTACAAACTGAAACTCTGTCCCCATTAAACAAGCACCTCCCAGCCCCCTCCCCCAGCCACTCCATCCTGCCTTCTCACTGTGGACCTGACTGCTCCAGGTACCGGTGTTGGTGGAATCAATTGTCTTTGTGTGTCTGGTTCATTTTACATAGAGTGCCACCCTCCAGCTTCGTCCCTGTTGTAATGTGTAAGAATCCCCTTCCTTGTTAAGACCTAAGAATATTCTTTTGTGCAAATAGACCATGTTTTGTGTATGCGCTCAACCATCAATCCATGCCGGATTGCTTTTGCCTCTTGACCTATTATGAACAATACTGTGAACGTGGGTGTATTTTTAGAACAATACGGTTTAAAAAAAAAAAATGGTTTTCAGCACGTAAAAAGCAGCTGCCTCAGACTGCTTGAGGTGGTAAAAAGCCTAGTCCATGGGGTTGTTTTAAAATTACATCCTTAAGTTGGGGACAGAGGCCCTGGGCATCACAGCCTGTGACTGCATGTTACTTCCTGGACCTCCACCCCTGGGGGGGCACCTGGGGGTGACTCTTCCATTGAGCTGTTTATTCCGTCCAGCTGTTGGTCCTTACCACGGCGGGGGGGGGGGGGGGGGGGGGGGGGGGGGGGGGGGGGCGGGGCCGGGGATCTCCAGATGCACTTGGGCTACTGTGCACGCTCCCAGCACCCACCCGAGGTGTCGCTAACCGTTTTTTCTCTTCTTACACCCTCCCTCCCCGCCCTGCTCTCCCTTCCCCCATTTATCTCCGCCTTCTCTCTGCTGGCTCCTGCTGCGCTCCAGTGCGACCAAGACCAGTGCATTCAGAGCACCAAATTCGTTTTGCAGGCCGCAGCCACTCCCCTGCTGCAGAGCGAGCCCAGCCTCACCAGCGACGAGATGCACCTCCCGGGGAAGCCCGGCCTGGGCACACCGTGCACCAGCCTGACGCTGGGCCAGCCCACGCCGCCCTCCTCCATGCCCAACCTCGCCGCCGAGGCCGCGCTCTCGGACATTATGCCCCTGAAGGACGAGCACGGGGGCCACCAGTTCCTGACCCCCGACGAGGCGCCCTCGCCCCCGCGGATGCTGGGGGCCGGCAGCCCGCTGGCGCACAGCCGCACCATGCACGTGCTGGGCCTGGCCAGCCAGGACTCTCTGCACGAAGACTCCGTGCGGGGCCTGGTGAAGCTCAGCTCCGTGTGACCCCTGTGGCCGACCCCAGGACCGACCGCAGGGCTCCTCCACAGGCGGTGGGAGCGAGGAGAGGGATGCACCCCGCAGCGTGGAGATGACAGCCCCAGGCCTGGGGTACAGAGACCCGCTTAGAAAGCCAGGGGAGCCCCGTCTCATGGCAGAGGGCCAGCAGGCTCCAGAAACTCGGGGCTTGGTTTTATCTGAATTTTCTTCCCCACCCTGAGCACTTTGACAATAATGAATATAGAGAAGTGGCTGTTTTCGAGCATTGGGAACCTGCAGGTTGGGCCTGGGGAGGGAGGACCCTCGGGGTGGGATCTAGCCAGGGAAGAAAAGGCGCTGCCTTATCTGCTGCTCGGAAGGTTTCTGACACGTGGCCAGACTGAAATTGCACTTAAGTGTTATGCTACTAATATCTGAAATAGACACGCCGTTCCATTTGTTAATTTAAAAACTACAGAAGTTCTAAAGGCAGAAAACAGACCGGATGTGGATTTGCATGCCAGCTACCGTCTGCATTCCAGTGGTGTTGGTATTCCGAAGGAAATGCTGCTCTCTTTCCTTCTTCCTTTCTTCCTTTTTTTATTTTTGTGAATTTTCAAGTGCTGTTTTGTTGGCAGACGGCCCAACGGATGCAGCCCAATGGACAAGGCTATTGGTGGCTGATTAGTCCACTTAGTTCTGTGTGGATTGGGAGCGTCTGGGCTGCGGAGGGCTGCTGGGGGTTTAATCCTATCCAGTGCCATTTAACCTTCTGTCTAGGGGTCCGACGGGGTGTTGCCTTGCACTGCCCCCTGCAGTCCTCACCTCCTTGTATGATGAACTCCCCGTGGACAGCCAATAAAATGACATCCTCTGTTATTTTGGATCTGTGTACAGTCGTCCTTAACAGCTTATGTGACAACAAAACCATCCAAAGGACCTGCAAAGAGTGTGTATTTTTTTTTAAGTGCCCCTAGCATGCAATGATTCAAAAACAACCAAAACTCAGAGCTGTGGGTTGTGGGGTATCAGATGGTGATTGAATGATTTCTTAGTTAAGGGACACGCTGTCCATACCACCCCCAACCTTGAATCATCTCTGTTTGACACAATCTTGAGGGAATTTGCTCTGCGATTAGATTGCCATGCAGCAGATGATCTGCCACAGGTAGAGGGAGGGGATGCTCAGGGAACAGGGGTGTTACCTGACCATCTTCCTGGTTCCATGTTGTGTTCATTGTCACCAAACCTCACAAGCGCCACTTGAGGTCCTGGTAAAGGTATCCCAAAAAATGAGGAGGAGAAACTGGCTCCAAGTTTAGGCTGAGATCTCAGAGATCATATTCTAAGCTACACACTAGTTCAAATGGAACTAAGGAAATTACCACTTCATTTTCATTTATCAGCTAAGGGAACTGGCTTTGTACTTGGGAGGAAGTCACTTTGGAGGCACCCTCAGGGAACTCAGCAACTTCTCTCCTGGCTTCTCTCCAACAGTCAAATCCACTCAAGTTCAAAATCATATTCATGCTATTTACAACCATATGAAAGCAAGGTACGTCGTTCATTAATACAAGTAACCACAAATGATATGCATTGGTAAGAAAAGGCTATTTCTCCTAGAAAGAATTGCCATTTTATATAAAAATAAAAGGGAAGTAGAAAAAAGAAAAGCACAATTTTAAATATTACTTGGGATAAAACCAATTCTATTTGAGTCAAAAATCAATTGTGTTGAAAATCCTGCAGATTTTTGCTTCATGATATCTTTGAGCCATCTGTATTTTTCATACTGAATACAAGTATAGAAAATGGAAAGGTAAATTATGTGTGGCCATTTTTTTTTTTTTTTTACTTCCTAGACTACCTGACTGCTTGTACCCACTGGGGATTTAGGCCACAGCCCTCCTTACAAAACACATACTCACACCCCATGTTCCTTGAAGGTTCTCTGAGCATTGTGAGCATTCTAGACACTCTCTTCCTCTGGCCTCCTCCTACCTGCTCCCTGGAGACCCCAGGAGAGAACTAGCCCTGATGAGAAGGGCCGGCTCAGCCTTCTTTCTGGGATCAGGAATGGGTGGTTCCCTTCCCAGTCTCTGCCTCTGGAAGACAAAGACAGTTGTCTTTGGAGCCCTTTCATCCCGGACAGTCTCTAACCCAGAGGTTGCTCATTTCCCATGACCAGCTCTCCTCCTCTTGTTATGAAAAAATCCAAGAAGTAAGGACCGCATGATGACTGAATCCGCCAGCCCTCTGAATCCTCTGATTCTTCATCTGTGGATTCAACCACACGGATTGAAAATATTTGGAAAAAAATTGTACTTGACCACGTAGACGTTTTTCCTTAGCATTGTTCCCTAAACATCACACCACTGCACAGCACTGACACTATGTATTCAGTATTGTAAGTAATCTAGAGACGCTTTGAAGTATCCTGGAGAATGTGCACAGGTTAGGTACCAATACTCTGCCTTGTTATATAAGGGACTTGAGCCTCCAAGAATTTTGCATCCAAGGTGGCCCTGAAACCAATTCTCTGAGGGCACTGAGAGACAACTGTATTTATTATCAATCATCCCACCCCATATCAACCCCAATCCTATCCCCTGAATGCATTTGGCATCTTTTATCAAAAGAAGGTTTGAGAATCTTGGTGAAATGAATCAAAGTTATTCAGGGTCAAGAAAGAGATTAACTTGATTAATTTGAAATTAACATCTCAAAAACCCAAAGCACAAAGATGTCCATAGCCCTTTCCTCTGTGGTTTTTGAAGAAGAAGCAGTTATGCTCCCAGAGTCTCCCTCCCCTGTGGGGCAAAAGAGATGGTCTGGAGGGTAACTGGCCTGGTGAGGTCAGGCTTTTGCATTTCCCATTAACTGATATATATCTGTTGAGTGAGCCCTCAAAGTGGCTAAATAGACCTTGATATTTCTAAATGCTTCCAATGAGTTAGCGATTGATTGCATATTAGCTAGAAAAAAAGTAAGATAAATATTTTACCATGCTATTAAGGCTTGGACCATTATCAGACACACACATACACACACATATACACACACTACACTACACACACACACACACACACACACACACACACACACTCATTCTGTTGTTTAAAATTTCATCTGCTTTCATTCTCCCAGGAATGCTCTGGGGACAACAGAACTCCCAGACACTCAAAGGCTGAATTCAGCATGAGCACCCTGGCCTCTAGACTGGATGGAGATGAGGATGGCAGTCAGCCTGCAGCTGAGAGGGCATGCTGACCTGTCACTCTGCCTGCGTAGTCAGCCCAGCCTTTGTGCAGCTCTCTCTTGAAAAATGCTCATCCCAGACTCCACATGTGATTGTTCAGCCTGTGAGATGATGCATACCCGCACCCTGAGCCAGCAAAATGCCAGAGAGCTGTTCTGGTCCACAGTAACTCAGGGAAGGGTCTTCAGATCCCCCTTTCCATGGCTACATGAGCTTCTCCAGGGTTGCTGGCTGGGCTTCAGAACCAGGGCAAACTCCTTTCTGTGAACCACAGAGACCTGGGTGGGTCAGCCCTTAAGGGCTGCTCCCTGAAGGTCTCAAGCCTCCTGCCCCTGCCCCAGCACACACTCCTGTTCAGAGCTGAGCTCACGCCCATCCTCTTCAAGCCAAGAGCCACCTGCTTCTCAGCCTTGGCACCAGGGTTTGGAGTTTGTTGGGAGGTGGCAGGAGAATGCTGGCTATCCCGTGGATCTCTCCAAAGGGAGTTGTCTTCCGCCCACTGCAAAGAGCACATTGCTTAGCCCACTCAGTGCAAGACCAGGTAAGAAGAGAATGAGGAGCAAATGTTAAATATATTTTCTAATTAATGCCTTATAACTGATCTGAAGCTGAGCCTAATCAAATTGATGTTTACATATTTTATTAAGTGCATATGAGTTGTGGAAATCTAGTGTATTCTTTTCCAAAAGAGAGAGACTCAAATGAATTGTTATTTCTCCTGGTCTCCTCCACCTCTTCTGGAGGTCTGTGCATGGCACTGTATACTCTTTTCCATGTTACCTCATTAAAAAATTGCCTCTCAGCTGTTCCCTTAAAATATCTTCCTCTCTCTCTCTCTCTCTCTCTCTCTCTCTCTCTCTCTCAGAATAAGCTATCATTGAAATAATAAATGAGTTGAAGTGTCATTTTCTTTCAAATAAATGTCAAAGATACTAATAGTTTTGTAAATCAGTAAATCCTCTGTCTATTGCCCATTGTATATGATCCCGATAGTACCGCCAAGGTGGATTTTCAAATATAACTGTTTAGTCCATTCATCCAGCCATTAAAAATTATTGGGAGATAGAAGATTACATTGTTTCCAAAGCATCTGTGTTTTCAGCTGCCACAAAACTAGATAAATGGCTTTGACTGGAATTATCTTTCGATCTCATAAGCCCCAGGAATTACACCCAGAATGAACTGGAAGACAGATGAATAGCTTGTGCTACTGCAAGGTATTTTTTTTGTCCATCAATTGTTGAATTTTTAAAAGAAACTCAGTTTTTTGATAATGAAGATATGAGAGGACCATTCTCTCTTAACTGACCCAAATATCTCAAGATTTGTAGTTAAACCAAGAGGTCACGTGGAATAGAAAGGAGGCATGTTTTGGGGTTCCATAAGAATGGAGATGGTTTTAGCCTACAGCAAGAAAAAAAAAATGTTGAAGCCTTGCTAACCTTTTGCCAGAGCATTCTAGATTGGCATTTTATAAGAATCAAACATTTTGACATGAAAAAGAAAGGAAGGAAGGAAGGCAGATATTTTTAATTCTAATTGGATTCAAAACCCCGAATCTGAACAATGGTGAACACATAAAATATAACATGTTTTCAGAGAGATGTATTAACTGCCTTTCATGTTTCATCAGTGTTTGCAGAACTGATCCTAAACCTGGAATGAACTGGGAAAGCATTTTTCTCCTTCAGTGAAAACTGTTAATGACATGAAATGTAAACCTCAGTCTGAATGAGACATGTTGCTCAAGTCAAGAAGGAGCAGGGAGGAGCAGAATCACCTTGCACTGAAAGAAGGTGCCCTCTATAGATGCCCATCCAAGAAGACTGATTTCAGACTGATTTCCTACAGTGGGTTCTCAGATTTTTCAATTCATAAGCAACTTTAGAGCAACTTAAAAATTCAAACACCTAGTACATTTGCGTACGCACATACACACAAATACACGCACACACAAACTCCCAACAAAATGAGCTAGGAGTTGTATTTGGCTACGGGTAACACAATTCCCAAATAATAATGGCTTAGAAAAACAGCTGTCTTTTCTGTCATGCGAAATAAGTGCAGATGCAGTCAATCCAGGGTCAGTGGGATGGCTCTACAATGTCACTCATCAATCACAAAATAGCTGCTACAGCCCCAACCATCAAAACCATCTAGGAAAGAAAGAGGAGAATGAGGAAAGAACAAATGAGACTACTCCCTTTGAGAAACATTCCCATCCATCTTGTGATTTTTCCACAATAGATGTCAAGTCACATGACCACTCCCTGCCAAACCAGATCCTGAGAAATATGATGTTTTAACTAGACACATTGCTGCCCCGATGATACTGGGTTCTGTCAGGGAGGAAGAAGAGAGAAATGAGTGTTCACTAGGTAAAACAATAGATGACCTCACCTCCTTCTTTATTGAAAAAATGAGACACTCTAACTTGATGTCGCCCATTCTCCTCTCTTCCAAAAACTGCTGTCTTCACCTGCCAACTTTTCTCTCCCTCTTTTAGAAAGAATTCCTGAGTCCTTGGGACATAGATTGAGAAGGAGCTGGGTTCAGGGGTCATGGAGAGTGAGAGGTCAGGGTCCTGGGGTCATGGAGGAAACAGGGGCTTGAGGAGACAGGGTC